TTGGAAAGACAACCTTAATTGAATTAGCTGTATAGTTTATTATTATGCAAACAGCTTGTTATATTTATTAAATTAATAAAATAATGTTATCAGATGAACAAATTTCATGTGCTAGGTGGTGATGTGCTGCATGCATGGTATACTAAAATATTTGTTTCAGAAACTATAGTTTTTCAACTAAACTAGTATAGTTTTTTTAACTATAGTTTTTAGTCAAAACTATAGTTTTCATAACTATGTTTTTGTTCCAAAATACTATAGCTTTTTAAAACTATAGGTTTTGGCTTAAAAAACTATAGTTTATTTTTGTTGCCCCCAAAAACAAAAACTGTGTTCTTTACAAACTGATATTTTAATTTGTAAATAAAGTCAATATTCATAATATATGCGAACTGTCAATAATTTGCTCATCTTTGCATTCAGTTTAGTGCCAGGACATTCAAATAGGAATTCCTTATAATAATCCTATACTGTAGAGTATAGGAATTCCTTTAGGATTGCATATGAATTCGTTTAGGAGTGTATAGAAATTCCTGTAGAATCAAAAAGGAATCCCTATAGAATCCTAAAGGAATTCCTATAGAATCCTAAAGGATTTTTTATGGAATCCTAAACGAATTCCTATAGAATCCTAAATGATTTCCTATAGAATACTAAAGAATTCCTATAGGATCCTAAAGGAATTCCTATAGTATCCTAAAGGAATTCCTATAGAATCCTATAGGAATTCTTTAGGATTCTATAGGAATTCTTTTTGGATTCTATAGGAATTCCTTTAGGAAATCCTATCAAAATTCCTGTAAGAATTCCTATTGGAAAAGTCCGAAAATCCTATACAATATCCTATAGGAATTCCTAAAAGATTCCTATAGAAATTCTTAAAGGAATTCCTACAGGAATTTTTCATAAGGGTCTTGACTTGGGTTTTCGTGGCATGAAAATCTAGTCTTAGTCCGGGAAAGTGGAAACAATAAAACGAAGAAAAATAAAGGGATTGCTCGCAGTCTAATGAAAATCTAGATTTGGTCTTTCTTTTTAAAGTGATTAGTGGTTTGCGAATGTACCTTATCGTAAGACCACAAGTTCCAACAATTCCATAGTTTAATTATATTGAAGATCATTGTGTTATCAATCAAGTCACTTTGAAGTTTAAAAGGGTAAGTAGTAGAGTATGGAACTGTTTAAATCGGACAGTATTAGTTTAGCAAACTTCAAAAGTGACTTGCTTGATTATTATAATTTTAAATACGGTTTCATTAATACTTGTTATACTGAAAGTCCTAGATGGCTAGAACATGGAACAATGTCTGTGTTAAATGCCACACAGCTCGGTCGCTGTGCTTCAGTGCTAGTTCAGTGTTCATGTCAAACTATTTTTTGTATTTTTGGTGGCGATTAAACATTAATTCTTATTTTTAGCAGGGGACCACTGTAATTGGGGAACTGTGTTGGTTTCCCTGGTGGGATGAAGTTGATGAGTAAACAAAAAATAGCAAAAATTAAAAGAAAAAAATATGGCAACGTGATCTGCGATCTCTATATTTTTGGGCGATTCGAGAAACGAACCGATCGAATAAAGTCGGAACCCGTGCGATGTTGGCATCCTCGAAGAGCTGAAGTTCGAATCAGTTCATTTACGACAAGCAAACCTTCCACACATGCGCGTACTTCAGACCAACACGAGTGAAGTCCAAGGTCAAGGACCAGCATTGTACGTTCCACACAACAAGCACTTCAGCGTAGAGGATATTGATGGAATTTGCAAACTTGGAATTGGACCGAAGCAAACAAGATGACCCTGCAAAAACAGGTTGGTATGGGATTGGATTAAACGCTGTCCATCATTTAATTACCAGATTGTCCAAGTTTCCTGTCAGACGATAATACACTATGTATCCTTGATCCACATTGTGAATACAGTCCTGAGGCAACCCCAGAACTGCCAGAAACTCCCGGTGGGAGATACGACAAGATTAACCACGTCCACGACTTCAAAGACATCTACTTTGATACAGTTAACGGTTACCTTGGAGACTTGGTGATCATTCTCCTCTGCAAGGTTCCACTATGTTTCGACTTCCATTGAGAACAAAAAAACCCAACAAAAACAATGAACGTTTTTGACGGTGTGTGACGGCGAGGTGCATCACGTGGTGCGTGTGGAGTAGTGCCGCTGTGTGACGCATTGTGATTGATGTGTGAAATGGCTTCCAATTATGTGTGACGATATGACGTGTCACAATCTTTTAGTGAGTATATATCTTCTCATCAAACTCATGTTTGGTACTATTATATTATTGAAACGCTCAGTCTGTTGCGTGTAAAAATATTTGTTTACATTATGCTTCAAAGCACTTTCGAAATATTAAGAAACGTTCACTGTATTTGTCACGATGTTTGAAAAGTTGTAAAATTTTACACCTGCAGATGCGGGCCATACAGATATTGTCTAAAAACCACAATAGCACTAAGAAAAACAATTTTTGCGCGGTAACCCCCTCACGAATTTTTCCTTTCCTTGTGCTTAATAATATGCTTATCTCACCCGTGCGATAAATACATTTGCTACTTCTTTCATATGTGTGAACGTTCTTCTCCTTATGCTTATTTCATTTAATGCCCCCCCCTTTAATGTATTAGATGACTGAACTGTAAAAGGCCCAGATGGTTTCACCATGGTTTCACCATATGCACACGATTTAGGAACAGTTACTATTTTTAGACTTAGGGTTAGGATTAAGGTTTGGATTAGGAAAAGGGCTAGGATTATGGTTAGGATTAGAGTTAGAGTTAAGTTTAAAATACAAAAAAATACAAAATTACAAAAGTCTAAAAATAGTGTGACAGATATTTTCACCAACACCCAACGGAAGTGAGAGGACACGGATAATTATACGCACTCTAGCCTGCCATCCTATGCTGCCACGCAGGCTAGTACCAACGTAAAAGAGGTAAAAGTCTACCAGTATAAACTGAAAAGTAGCAAGAGAATGTCAATATTCCTGCTGATAATAATTCAGCGATGGTCAGTTAATTTTTCTTAATGCATTGACTATATGTATTGTTACATGAATTAAGGTATGTGATTTTATGTAAAATTAAAATTTTAGTGTGCTTTGTCTCGGAACTCGCGGAAATAGCTGCATGAGAATATTAAAGGGGAAGTCAAGTCCGTTCTGCGCATCGGTTCTGCGCATAACAATAGAGGGCCCTCTGAGGTAAAAATTGCCCAAATTTTGAATGTTTCGAATTTTTCTGAACACAAACTCTATTTCATATTCATGTAGAAGCATAACGAACCAAAATGGTGTTAGATATTCAGACAGTACACTCATATTTTAAAAAATACAGCAGTTCAAAATGTAAACAAACCGTTTGTTTACATTACCGACTTGACTTCCCCTTTAAATATATTGGTGTTCAGTTCCGAGCCTTCGTTTGAAAGTTCATAGTATGTGCATGTAACCGTACTACTCACCTTCTGTTCGAAATGCCTCGAATGTGTTTTTAATCCTACAGGCTGTATTAAAATCAGTGAATCAGACATAAGTCACGGCAGATTGTTGTACAAGCCATACGGCATACAACACTACCAACAACAGTGGTCACCCAATAATAAAATCCGTATAGTCTAGTAAAAAGCTTTCCTTTAATATTGAATGATAATATATCATTATCAATGCTAATATGTTGACCCGTTAGCCGCCAGCATAATTTTGAAGGTTCTTAAAAAGGCTATATAAACGTAGTAACGGGGCCGTTGTTTGTAGTTCTCGCTACCTAATTAAACGGACTGTTCGAGATCTTTTAAAATATTGTAATTGTAAAATAATGCCACTGATCCAGTATTCGTACACGATTCCCATCGAATCTAATTTGTAAAACAAATCCAAATATATAAAACTACAGAGCAGATACTGTCTTAGTCTAGTATAGTAGAAGGGCCGGCGTTTAATGTGCAAGTGTATCTTCACGCTTGGGCTTTGAACTAGCTGGTACATGTATTTGAAAGTTTGCATTTCTACGAGTGAGTTTACAAACTCTTGATCAACGCCAACGGTGCCTGCAACAACCACTTATTAAAAAGGTGATAGACTTTTAAAGAAAACACATGAACATGAGGGCAAGCGACAATTAAAGCAGATAAAATTTTGACACGTTTGAATCTCGGGTTAGTAAGGGTACAAGGAGTGTGAAGACTAATATTATGGTTTTTTAACTGATAACTTGATTAGCGATGCGGTCCGTTAGGAAAAACTGGAATTACCTGGGGAAATGGTATTAAAACTGTTTACGACCTTTATAGAATATAGATTTTGGACGTCAATGGCCGCCATCTTGGCTTGATTTTTGTCAATAGTGACACAGAATAAGAAGGTACAGCAGAAGCGTCACTCGAGTCGGTTCCCTTATTGCTTTATGTGAGGGTCCTGACGGGGGGGGGGGGGTCCCAATCCCATTTCCCACCCAAAATTTTGGCAAAATCCCAGTCCCAGTTTGATTTTTATTACAAATCCCAGTCCCAGTTATTGAAATCCCAGTCAATAAAAACCCCTTTATTTATCAGTAGAATAAACAGTTTTAAGACCTTTTAAGCAAGTGGCGGACACTTTATGAAATATTAGGGGGGGGGGCTCATGCCAAAGGCACGGAAAATTTTTTAATTTGAATCCCGGAAATGGCATTTGCAGCATTCTGAGACACGCATAATCATAAAAAACCAGAATTCCGGGCGCCTGAGAGTATGCCTGTTCACAGGTAGTGCTGTGAATAATATAGTTAACAACAAAAATCATGACCAAAGACACCAAAAACGGATCAAAATTGTATTTTAAAATACTCAAAACGCAGAAAAATTGGGATTCGACTCAAATTACCTCAATCCCATTCCCATTTTTGAGGACTTCATTTCCCATTCCCAGTGGCCCAGTCCCAGCAACCCAAATCCCATTTTCCAAGTCTAAAAATAGATCAATCCCAGTTCCCATTTTACCCCTTCAGGACCCTCTTATGTCCACGAAAATTTTAACTCGCTCACGCCATCCTGGTTACTACAACCGGAAGTTTTTATCAGGTTTTGGTAGGTACAAAGTGGCCGGTTGTACTAGCCAGGATGGCGTGATTGATGATGAATCGCTTGTAAAAACGCAGACAAATATTTTGGGTGTATATTCTTCTATAATCCACCCCCCTGGGGGGGAAAGGAATCAAAGGGTCTTAGGGCCAGGGAAGAAATTCAAAGAAGAGTGAAAAAGAAAGGAAGGGAAAGGAAAAGAAAGAGGGAAAAGAAGAGAACAAAGGGAAAAGAAAGGAAAGGGCAAAAGGAAAATGAGGGGGGAAATGACAAGACGCGGACCCCAGATCTATGGACTACCTTCGTGGACCTGGTCCATGGACTACACTCGTGGACCGCGGACCACTCCCGTGGACCATTCTCGTGGACCACTTGCGAAATTTCGCCAACCGAACAATAGACCAAGCACTATTAACCCGAGTTTAGGAAGCCGAGATTGGCGGGAACTATTTCATTATTCATTTCCATTTATTTATTTCACAATCAATTCAGTTTTTGTTGATGAACAGTGAATACTAAGTCTGTAAAAATGCTGAAAAAATGTAGTCAGGGTTCATTAAAAAATATAGGAATACTGTGGAGAATCTGGAGGGGGGGGGAGGGGTGGTCAAAGGATTTTACTGAATTATTCGAATTTTACTGTTAAAAAATCATTTGAACTGTAGAAGTTGTAAGTTGCAATGGCCTTTCAATGCCTGAAGGTCCTCTCCCAAAAATATTAATTTTTGAAGCTCGATTACTGCTTTTCTTGCATTTTCTGTAGCGATCGAAAAAAAACTACCAATTTTAAGGGCATATATTCGGAAACTTGGCATTAAAGTTGTAATTGCACACTTATATTTTTGAACGGTCATATAGTGAATGGATTTAGAACTTCACATTTTGTGTAAAGTTTCCACAATGATAATAATGACTGAACTCGACTCGAACACATTTTTCCATGCACAGTCAAGAATTCAAACCCCCAAAATCTGGTGTCTCGCAAGTGGTCCATGAGAGTGGTCCACGGGAGTGGTCCGTGGTCCACGAAGGTAGTCCATGGACCAGGTCCACAAAGGTAGTCCATGGACCAGGTCCACGAAGGTAGTCCACGGACCTGGGGTCCGTGTTTTGTCGTTTCCCAAATGAGGGGGCAAAAGGAAAAGAAGAGAAAGGACAAGGGATGAGAATGAAAAAGAACTGAGAAAACTTGGGGATCAGTCTCCTATTATGTCAGCAAGGAGGGGGAGGGGTATAGATAAAGTATGACTTTTTATGGCAAGAGGAAGGGGAATTGGAACATAATGTCAATATTTAAATCAAATTTTAAAAAAGTGAATATATATTAATGTTTGTGAAACTAAAAACGTTCGTTAAAAAATGAACGTAATTTAGAGAGAGAGTAGTACTTTTTAATGGGAACATCTCTAGTTAATATATCAATCAATTATTTTGTTGTGCTGTGTATCATTGAGATGCAGAAGTTCTAAATAAACTGAAAAATTTATTGTCAAAATCAGCATTGTAACATCATTTTTCTACCTTGAACCAAACGTTTTCTCGAAAATAATTCTTTAAATTGTAGGAAAATTATTGGAATAGAAAGGTGGAGCCCAGACTCCGATGCCGTGCCCAAATTTCTTCAAGATACAGGGAAGAAAATCAAAGCTGAAGAGAGGGGGTGGGGGGAGGGGGGGAAGCAGTCAAAGGTCATTGAAGAATATACACCCCTGAAATACTTGCTTGAGTGATGCTTCTGCTGTACCTTCTTATTCTGTGATAGTAATTAGTGTAATAGACAACTTGGCTAACGTTACATCGTTTGCTACCCACCTTTTTAAAAAGTCTGCCTTGTGACGTGCTTTGCGGACAGCCTGGACCTAGGCCTTCTATTTTTATTATTTTTTTAATATTCAGCGCTTTTTTACATGAAAAGACTGGTTGGATAAATATTTAAAAGGAGGCTCCCTACAGTTTCCAATATATGTCAGTGTTTTAACTAAAACCTATTTAATTTGAATCTAAAAAAAATATTAATTTTTTGCACAAGTCATGGTTAGTAATTTTAACCCATAATCGCTACTCTTCATGTTACCATGACAACATGACGTCACCATATATATATGGCCTGTATCAACCAAAAAAGTTGTTGTAGTGGACAAATAACCACGGTGACCTACCTTTTTTATTGCAGAATATACAATGTGATGAAGTTTAGAATCTTTTTTGAAAGTTATTTGAAAATCACCAGTGTAGTTTTCGAGAAACTGAATTTCAGCCTTTTGAGATTGCATAGCCTTTGGAAAGGCTGAAATTCAGTTTCTCGAAGACTACACTGGCAATTTTCAAACAACTTTCAAAAAAGATTCTCAAATTCATTAATAATTCATGAGCAATTCAGCCAACGATAATCACCTATTTGATCACAAGATGCCATTGGGTCATCCAGAAAACATCCATACCAACCTCACAGAGGAAATAGAAAGTTAACCCCCCTGCCCCCTTCGGATGTCGTAATACATTTACTATTATCAGAAACAATTTTTTCTCCCCTCCCCCTCTGGACGACAGAAATTTCCTGTGTGGGGGGAGTATGGATCTTTTCTGGAACGACCCATTTGGATAACCCGGTGAAACTTGATGAAAGTCACTAGTGTTTTCATCAAATATCTTATTAGACGGCTTTTTTGGTTGATATAGGCCATATAGATGTTGATGTCATGTTGTCATGGTAACGTGAAGAGTAGCGATTGTAGGTTAAAATTACTCTTTTATATAAGAGGAAACAATGGCTTGTGCAAAAAATTAGTTTTTCTTAGATTCAAATCATGACATAGGTTTTAATTTAAAACACTGACATATATTGGAAACTGTAGGGAGCCTCCTTAAATACGATCATTTGGGCAATCGGCAAGCCAAACAGCTGTGTGGGGTTTTCCTTTACCTGCAAACTACGTCACAAGACAGACTTTTTAAAAATGTTTATTCACAACTTTAATAGTAACTCACATGCCTAGTTACTATTGTTCTAGTTTACAGAAGCATAGAATAGAACAAAAGTAACAAAGCTTTAGAAAATACAAAATAACAGTAACTCCGAATAACATTTTGATTTTTAATCGACGTTTCGACTAGTTTGTAGTCATCCTCAGGATTAATAATCATTATTAATTATTATTATTAATTTTCATTATTAATCCTGAGGATGACTACCAACTAGTCGAAACGTCGATTAAAAATCAAAATGTTATTCGGAGTTACTGTTATTTTGTATTTTCTTAAAATATTGAGTGGTTCCCGTAATTAAAGCTTTAGAATGATTAATGTATAAGAGTTATTAATGTATAAGAGTTATAGGGGTTTGATGTCAATTGGGGCCTTGCCCTGTTTCTTTCCCCTGTTGTCACTGTAAAGCTGATAACAAATTCAATAAATTCAAATTCAATTATTCACTCATGTAGATAATTCTAAAGCTTAGTTACCTTTGTCCTAGAACAACAATAATTAGGCATGTGAGTTAAAGTTGCAAATTGGGTATAAACAAACATTATCCAAATTTGTCTATTGTGACTGAAGTTCTTGCTCCAGATATATATAGAGCTCACTGATAAAACCCCCTCAAACTGGGGGGGGGGGGCAGGTTGATAGAGGATTGATTGCAATATTTTCATTATTGTTTTCGAAAAGGTTCTTTAGTCAATTATTATTTTCTTGGAATGATTCTTATTAACAAGTTTTGGATGTCCATGATACATTTTAGTATAGTTTTCTTACATTATAGTTGAAGGGTTAAGTTTTGTAGATGAAATTTTGAGTGTAAATTTTATTTAGACCAGGACGAGCTGCAAAAATGCAACCATAGGCCCTATAGTTCTATCGAGTGAGATGCCCAAAAGACCTGCTTGCTATTAATCATTTTCCTTACATTCCATTATCTGTCTCAATTCCAGGAAATATTTTAGTAATGGCAGATTATACAGAATTTGGACAAGCAGTGCAGGGTGTTGCAAAGGAGGCTCTGTCTGCCAGTTTAAAATATAGCAAAGGTGGTGACCTTTCATTCAACGTCAGCACTACCGATGTGCAAGTGGCCAGAGATTTAGTCAGAACTGTAGGTCGTACTGTAGTTACACTTGGTGCTCTTTATGCTGGTTATCATTTAATGAAACCCATAATTGAGGGCGCGGTTAAACATGCCTTTGGAGGTGAAAGAGACGACCAAGAAATTCGGGGTATCAGACCTGGATCTCTAAACATTCTACTGCATTGTTTGACAGATGAAAGATTTCTGAAAGTTTTAAATGATTACGAATGTGGTAGATTGAAAGAGCGTTTGCAGGAAGAATTTTTGCGGACTGGAATTAAAATAGAAGGAGTAATGGTGGAGATTTTAAACATGGAAGAAGTACATAAAACTAAGGAAGCTATAAATGAAAGGTATGTGAAAAAATTATATCTGCATGATTATGTGTTTTATATCTTCTATTAAATCTCTGATCTTTTTTCAAATTATTTTACTGTTTTCCAGACAGTATGCTTGATTTTGTCTTTTATAGAGAATATATTTCTACACTTTTTACTATAGCCCTCAATTAACTAAACTAGGGTACCTGCAAGCGAGTGCAAGGTAGGGATTGCTGCGGGCGTTAAAAGCAAATAGAACTACAGTAAACAGCACAAATTATATCAAGCACAGTGATTACTCGCAGCGACTATAGTGAGCTGTGAATGGAACTGAGAAGACGCAATATATATTGAAGTAGCAAAGACCAGGGGTTAAAGGGCAATCAGAGGTGACAGATATTAAACATGTGCGTCTCATTGGCATACAGGTAAATTAAGATCAGATTTCATATCAAGTCTGTTTACTGCTAGGTGCATTTACCACATTATATAGACTATATACACAGATTTATCACACTAAGAAACCAAAACTTTATAAAAATATACAACCGACAGTGGCCAAAGTCCAAAACAAATGTAAGCGTAACATTAGACTTGAAAAAGCTTTAGAAATTTGACTTGAGCTTGTTTAAAATTTGTGTTCTGCGCATAGAAAGCGTGCACGACCACAATTCCATGTGCTAAATAAAATTTAGTTCAAAACCCCCTCTCTGCACATGGCTGCTGCTACGCTCACTCGCTCTGCAGCAATAACAATGGTACTAGGGTACCTGCAAGATAGGGATTGCTGCGGGCATTAAAAGCAAATAGAACTACAGTAAAAAGCACAAATTATATCAAGCACAGTGATTACTTGCAGCGACTAGTGAGCTGTGAATGGAACTGAGAAGAAGCAATATACATTGAAATAGCAAGTGTCATGCAAGTGTCAAGAGTCGTGCAAGCGAAGACCAGGGGTTAAAGAGCAATCAGAGGTGACATACCGTATTTACTCGTTTGAGCGCCGCGGCGCTCTTTAAATTTTCAGAGCTTCGGATGCGGCGCTCATTCGGGGGCGGCGCTCAATCGGGGGCGGCGCTCTTTAAAAAAACTTTTATTTGTGAATTATAAGAAGAACTTTCAACAATAAAATAAACAACTAAATGTCCCCATTTTGACGGTGGAAAGTTTTTACACTGTTCAGTGCGGCGCTCATTCGGGGGCGGCGCTCTTTAAAAAAATTCGATCTCAAATGCGGCGCTCATTCGGGGGCGGCGCTCAATCGGGGGCGGCGCTCAAACGAGTAAATACGGTATATTAAAACATACAGGAAATTAAGGATCAGATTTCATATCAAGTCTGTTTAAAAAAGTGCTTATGTCACGGTAGTTATGGTAGAGGACAAAAAGTTAGTTAATAGTTTCTTTAACATTTTTCGCTTTTCTCTTTTCATTCGCGAGATATGAGGCTCTAAAGGCGGTTTTCCACTAGGCGAAATTTTTCGACCGAATCGAAATTTCTCTTTGTTTCATGAGCTCTCAAGCAGAACTAATTGTAAAAAGACAAAGAGAAATTTCGTTTCGGTCGAAAAATTCCGCCTCGTGGAATCCGGCCTTAAGCCTTGAAAAATTGGCTTTTAACGAAAAATTGTCGCGCCCGAGAAAAAAACGGAAAAGGGTCTGGGGCGAGAGCCGTGTGACGTAGCTTAAGGGACGGAAGTTCGAATTCACATGTGAAGGAGTACTAAAAAGCTATTGGGAAGACATATGTTTTCCAGCACTCATGGTTCTCAATGTGACTCAGAATACAATTATATTCCTGGGTATATTATACAGGATGAACCAAATGATACTAGTCACAATTGGAACTCTAGAAGCAGTTTCTTTAGGCGATTATAATGCATATTGGTGATATTGCCTTTATGCCGATGAGCCGTTAGCGAGCCGCCGAGCGGCCCGAGCCAAGAATGCTACGCGCGCGATATCTAAAACTATGCGGAACACAAGGAACAAAACGTTAGAACGAAGATTAGACGGCCCTGAAGATATTAAAATCATGGTGAGCGTAA